AAAAAAAAAAAAAAAAAAAAAAAAAGATCTATTTTAATAAAATGGACAGTCGCAGTTCACAAAAGTTCCCTTCTCCCCATTTCCAGCACAGGTGATGTCGTGGTCCTTGCTCAAAAAGTTTCCACTGACTTCCACGAGTCCTGCCAGAGCAATAACAGCGGGATCACATGTCTCTTGGGTCTCCTTTATTATTATTATTATTATTATTATTATTATTAACATTTGATCTGAAGAGCAAGTGATCTTTAAGTAAAAGAGCATGACCTTACATCACAGGCTACACACTTCCTCTCTTCAAACAAAGGAGCACAACACTTGCAAGCACCACTCCTGTGTGTACATGTTCTGTAGAGGTCTAGGGAAGCCCCCTATACAGTTCCTGCTTACAGTTTACAATGTTAAGCAGTAATTCAACTCATGAATCAGCTGTGACATTTTCCATTTAAACCACCCTAATAACCCAAGTGTGCAAAGCTGTTACTTAAACACAAAAGACAAACAGGTCTTTTTATACCTCCAATTCAAAAAGTTTGCACCAATGATACTAGCACCAGTGATACTTTGAGTAGTTTGTGCTGAGTTCACATAATTTTCAAAATTAAGTTATTCACAAAGTTTGGAGACTTCAGCTTGTTTAAAAACAGAAACTTCCCCTCAGTCCAGGAATAAATACGATACATTTATATTTTATGTTTTAAAACCTTTGTCAAAGTAACTTGAAATGACAATATAAAACAATCACCACACCCTCTGGTTGTAAGAGTGCCTTCAGTTCTCCCCATCTAGAAGAACAGAGCCTACCTCTTGGTTTTGGCTGGCAGCATCTCCTCAGTGTAAAGCTGATATTGTCTGTCTTAAGGACTTGTCCCTTCAAGTGATCCATCAGCTCTTTTAAGGATGAGAAAGACCTATTGGAGCCATGCAGAAGGCACTCATTTTTCTTCATCTCAATCTGGAAGTTTTTGTACTGGACTGAACTGTTTACCTGTGACTATTAATTAATTAAAAAAAAAAAAAGCAAAACATCAAATCACAAAAATGAAGCACTATCCCAAGGCCAACAAGCAGATTGTGGACCAAGTCTGTGACTACCCCAATAAAGCCAGTGAAATACCAGGGCCAAATTTATTGCTTGCTCCTTAGCTACAGTCCTTAGCTGGGTAGCGCAAAAAGGCACTAGAATCCCAATACATTTCAGTCCCAGGCAGGAGCAGAACTGAAGCAGTAATATTAACAGGTTGATGTAAAGACGTACACAGGCATCCAGCCCAATTTATGGATCCTGCTCTTAGACGAGACATAACCTAAAATAGAATGAAGCTAATGTCCAGTTGTTCCATTAGCTCCTTTAATTCACTGGACCCATGCTTCAAAGCATAAATATCTAAAAGATTTTTACATCCACAAGAGGTAGTAAGATGCACCATGGCAGAAGATAAACTGGTCAAGATGCTGAGTGAAAGACCCCTTGAAAGACCAGAATTTTAAGTTTGCCAATTACACTCAGCAGCCTTGGTGAAGAGTTTCAAATGTTTAACAGCACAGGTCTTCGATCAAATATGCACCAGTTCAGAGGAAAGATGAGGGCATAGACTGATGTCTGTGTGCTCCTGAACACATTTACAATCTCTGTACTCTTCTGAGTCCCAAGTTCTCCAAGACAAACCCCACTTTGCATTTCAGTGACTCACTTCCCTCATCTCTACCCACTTTTGGCATATAAATTAAGCTCTCTAAATGAAAACTGTTATATTCATGTGAAATGTCTGCTAGTGCTATGTGTCGTCAAAGCCTTTCCTCCCCATTTGACTGCCATACCTCAAATGTGCCTTCTTGCCTCATTGGACTCTTTCTAGCAAAGTTATACTTTGTCTGAAGCCATTTGCATAATTGGATTCCTATGCAAACAGCTTAAGCACTTGGTCCTGAGCCAGTGTCCAAGTAGAAAGCTTCCACTGACTTAATGGACTTTGGATCAGACTTCTTGACTTCAAGGTGCAACTGTTCTGTTTTTCTACGTCCATGCGTTTACTCTCCAGTGTCCCTACCTCTCTTACCTCATGATTTTTGCTATTGCTTACACTAAGGGCACAGCCCTGAAGCCTTCCTTGCTCAGACAAAACTCATCTGAAGATAAACCCTGCATGAAAGTGCCTTCAATACACATCTGTTTTCCCAGCTCCCTTCCCTTATATATTGCACTTCATTATTTTACATGAAGGAACCCCTATGCCACTTGCCACAATGGCTGAAATCTTTGAGAGCTTTTGGAAAGTACCTTATTCTAACACTCTTAAGCGCCCTTCCCTACACTCCTGTTATTTTATACTGTCCTTATTGCCACAGCATCAATCTGTCATTCAACCCTGCATATATTACTGTGTTTTTCTTCAGTTAATTCTGACAACTCTGAGCCAATTTTGTTCCCACACACTCATGCAACTGCCACTTGAGTAGTGGAAGTGGTAGAGCAATGCTGGGGCCCAGCTGTGTAAGCCAAGGCCTGTTCCTTCCATCAGATGATTTATAGGAACACAGGACCTGATGGGACTTCCTGGGTCACTGAGTTCAATCCCCTGACAGGAAAAGCTATTTAAGCCAAAAGACAATACTGGCAAAAGAACAAACAGAAACTAGCTAAGAATGAATTTAGGCTGGAAGCTAGAAACCTTCTAATTATCCAAGGATTGAGGATCTAGTGCAGCTTTATAACACGAGCTGCCTAATCAGACATAACATGGAGTTCACATTTATTAACTGGATTATAATTTATCTCTGTAATGAACACCATTACCTGGGGAGACCGAACCTGTAAGCAGCAAGTTGTTATTTCTACAGGGACACACTAATAGAGGGAAGAGAAACATGTTCTAGACTAGCATGGATTATGGAAATTATATAATCTGTATGACTCAGACATTGTGAACTCAGCTAAAAACATTGAGTGATATACGTTCCAATATACCTCTGAGGTTTCAGAACACGTCACTGTCATGAGGATGTGATTGAAGTTGGTACAACTCCATCTCAGCACGTACATTCCCTCCTCATTCCCCTCTTGTCTCAATTTGTTGGTGGCGTACTCAGTGCTGAAAAAATTAATATGTGAATGAAGATACAGAACGAATGAGCAGTAGCATTCAACCCTATTTTAACTGTTCCCTCCCCTCCCTCCCCCCCAAACAGGGCTGCCTATAGAACAAGAGTGTTCAACTGCAATATCCAGACAGCTCTATTATTAGTAAAGCATGTTTTATACTGTGTGCATTATATGCATACTCTGTTTAGCAAAACAAAAATAGATGGAGACAAACATCTGGTAAATTTGAGGGGTGGAGGGGATGGGCAGGGACTGCCTCCAGGACTGCATGTCATGCCTTTGTCGCATCTTTAAAACGTCTAAGAATTCAGCCCATTTTCAATGACAGTCGTTATTTCCTTAAGTTGCAGCAGTCCATCATGACACACATACTGCACTCGTGGACATGTCACTTGCAGACAAATTGTTTTATGCATAGTGGACAGATCCAGAAAAGAAGGAAAGCAACCAAGCAAAAAGTGAAAAAAAAAGGAAAAGTGTGTTTACTTTTTAATTAAAAAAGGAAAATGCCACTTAGCGCACACATCCAAGGATCTCATGGCCAGGAAAGGCACAGTTCAGTTTTGGTTAAGTGACTCCCAATCTTTCAAGTCTCTAGTACAAACTCTGTAAAAGGCCTTCACAAACATTACTGAATTAAGCCTCAACCTATTCCTGTAAGATAACTGAATGTTGTAGTTTTATAGACGAGCAAGCTGATGCACACTGAATCATTGCCCAGATTCCCCGTGTCGGGCTGGCCAAAAAGGAGGAAGAATACAGGAAGAAGTGGTTAGTCTGAGACAGGAAACCAGAATTTCTTTATTCTACGTTCACTATAAAACAACTAAAATTATGTAAAATAGCACAAGAGAACTGAACTACAGCCTACGTAAGGAAATGTTTATGTTTTATTTGTAATGGCCCGCGGATCTCTGGAATCAAAATGTTTTCCATCTTTAGAGGTGTGGCACATGGAAGACAGGTACTATAGGCAGGATTTGTAAAAAAACACATGGTATTGAACTACTTCTGTTCCCCCTGAAATTACTTGGGATTTTGGCATTTTCACCACTGGCTTCAATGCGGACAGAGTTAGACTAATAGTGAGTGCTTCTGAAAACCCCATCCTACATGTCAAGCTTTGTACACTGTTTTTGGTGATCATTTTTTTTTTTTAGGAAAATTGTCTCCAACATCCTCCGCTCCCTCCATAAACACCTGGGGGAAATTTAGTTTGGAAATTTGAAAACAAAATATTTGCCATCAGTCCCATTTACAACAGAGTAACTCCCCTTGCCATCTTTGGCCTGCAAGAATCTGTTTGTTTGGAATCCTTCTAAATTTCTCACATTTTTTTCAATGAATTCAAGCAATGTGTATGGAAGTAAAGGAAGAAACATTATAAAACAGAGATGGTATTTGACAAACCAAATTGGGCCATGGCATCCACTTTTTATGTTGTGCACTATCAAAGGTGGAGCAACATCAGTGCAGAGATAGTGGTGGGCATCTGCTGTAAGTCTGAAGTATCCATCTATCAATGATGCAAATGACAAGGCCTCCGCATGTGAAGAGAGTTTTAATTCCTTGAAAAAAAGATAATTTGGTCAAGAATTACTGTAATTAGAAAAATGAAGGACGGTGTTGAATACAGGAACTCATATGCATTAGGATTTCTGCACAGGATTGAATAACATTGTTGCCCAGTACATATGGCTGAAACAAAACATTTGGAATGGCCCCAACGATCACCCTGTACTGTCCAGCAAAGACTATTCTGCTGTAGGCCAAGCTAGACCCTAGTCTTGCCATGCTACACCCTAGTCTTGCCATGCAATCCATTAGTCCAGACTCTTCACATCCATGTAGAATTCCACAAATTCCTCAGCAGTGGGGTGATGCCACCCAAGATTCAGGCCCATACATTTTTTTGGTAGTTTCTGTAATGGGAGGATCTAGAGGCAGAAACAAGCTTATGCCTGCATTTAATGATACTCTTCTTCATCACCTCCTACCTGATCCTTCGTTTGTCTGTTTCTCTTGTCTCCAGCCCTACTGCTCTCTTTCCTTCTCGCTGCTTTTGTCTCTCCAGGATACACCAAATTGAGAAGTGTGGTGGGATTCTTCCCATATAGTGACTGCTATGGGGCTCAAGGAGGAATGGAAGGATGACAGATGTGGAGTAGTGAGGGACATATTGCTACTATTCAGGAGGCACATACACTGTGTGGTACCCTTAAGTGTCCATTAGAAGAATGACAAAAGGGACAGACAGTACTAATGGCACCACTGCTGCCCAACAGAAATGTGTCTATTTCCTTCCACCGGATGGGAATTTACCCATGCAAAATTCTTACCATCCTTTTGTTGTCCTGCTTGTTAATTTTGACTGTGGACTCCTTTATGACAACATGTGTGATTTCTGGAAAGTATGAAAAACTGTTCCACTCCTCTTGGATTTTGGTTTTTAATTCATCCTTTTTGTTTTTGCCATCCACTTTCTTCCTCTTTAGTTTATGTTTCTCTTTGTCAGTCTGTTGAATCTGCAAACAAGGGGTACAGATAATAAACACTGGCTTTTTGGTGATGGAAATAAAGGTTTGCACCAGCAGTTCTGGAGCACGTAGCAGCTCTCAGCCATTTAAAAAAAAAAAAAATCACTCGCATCTTCTCTTTATCTTTACTTGTGAGCCCAACATTTTCTTTATAAAACCCAAGGTTGAGAGCAACAAATTCATACATTCTGGGCTTACTTTTGCCACCAATTCACTGTCCAACCTGACAAGTCCATTAACCTTTCTTTCTGTTCCTCCATCTATATGAAAGAGTAATGTTACTTTCATACTGTTCATAAAGTTGATCCACTAAGGCTTATAAACCATATGTCTCATTGACATTAAAGGTAAGCCCTTAGAAAACCAACATCGTCTTTTCAATCAACATGAAGAGGAGTTGGGTGTCTGCATTTTCTTGGATCTCCTTCTCAAATATCCATTCCCATTTCCTAATTTCAAAGAGGTTGCTTGCTCCAGAAGGTCATAAGAACAATTCTTAATTACAGTTCTTTCTACCGCGTGGAAATTTGGAATAAAAGTCCTATATTCTGCTCTAATGCAGGACATGGAGGGAAGCAAACAAAAGTAAAATTGTACGTAAAGGTAGCAAGAACAGCAAAAGAGGAGGGAGTGGGTGAGACGTACAGCTCCTGAGCAGCTCCCTGCTGAACACTGCTCCAACCCCTGAATGGAGGCCATGGGTCCCTTCCACTGAAACTCTGCATGCACAGAAGTGGATGCTGGGGATAAGATAATGCAGTCAATCCAGCCTGCACAGCACACTCAGCTCAGCTCCCATAGACATCCATTCACCTATCTACATATGTACTGCAGCAGGGTTTGCAGGCAGGAGAGCCACTGGGTGAATGACCAACCTTGCAGAGTCTGTCTGCAGAGGCACGCAATTTTGGAAGGGGAACAGGATGCTGAACAATTATCAGCATCTTGTCCCACACTAAAATGCAGGAGATAGGCCATTACTAAGTGTAGATCCCAATGCAGTTTTAGATGCTTGTCTATTTTCCACCCTGCAGAAGCCCTGACACAAGAATTCGGATGTCATTTTTCTGATTAACATTCTTAAAACTTGCATATTTCCATTTTGGTAGTTTAAGTTATAAACATGTAAGACAGGATGTCAGAGGAGCAGACGGGAGCGTGCTAATGATTTTTCACCTATTTACACTCCTCAAGTGAGGCCCTTACAACTACATAGTGATTTCTAGGAGAGATTTTGTCGTGCTTGCGGATCACATTCCCTATCAACTGTGGTTTTGAGCATGCGCATTTTTCATTGTTCATTATTGTTATTGTAGCTATTATGATTCATATTGATTTAGTTCCTATTATGTGCCAGGTTCTCTTCACACCTGGAAAACAAGGCCCAAAATGCAAACTTAAAGTCAGCCTTGTCATGGCTGCTTTGTCTGCCATAGTCCTTTATTGTACTCAGCTTTATTACGGAAATATTTGGTGTTGTTCTACATGCAGGCAAGTGACTGAGGAAGGTGGCCTTACCTATGAACACAAAACTGAGAACAAGGATTTTTAAATACAGCTCGTGGTAATATGAAAATTCAGTTTCTACTTTTTTGTGTGTGCACTAATCTCCCTAAGAAGCATTAACAAACTCTGACATCAGGATAAAGCACATGTTTAGAATCATTTAGTACAATGCAAGAGCCTCCAGTAAAATTAACTCTGTGGAAAGCTAGAGGAGGAAGACTTTACTGCCCATCCTATACATGCTCATCAGTGTTAGTTATTTGAATAGATGCGGATATTCAATACAAAATCATGTATTTTAAACCTGAAGGGAAATATCTGGCTTGGATGATTCGGGGTGGATAATAACAGCCACAGTGACTGGCACTCAGACAAGCAAAGGACTAATACTGGCTAATCCTGGGCACTGTACAGGCTTCATGTCAGTTCTCTTGCATTTCTGCCAAGAAACTTCATTTCTAACGTGCACATCCTTGCCAAATAACCTCAGCTTACCCAAAATCTACTAACTGCTTAAACCATGAGATAGTTGTTTCCACAACTCAGAAAAATACCTGCAGTTTCCACACTGATGATCCAAGTACGTTTTGACTGGAGCTTTTTCTATAGATAAAGGCAAGTGCTTTAGGATGGTTGCCTTCTACAAGCAGGAATAAGTGACTAAATCTTATTAACTGTTGGTCATGAACTTTAAAAACTTGGCTATAACAAGATCAGAGTACAAAGATGAAACTTCAGTTACAAATTTTGTAAAGATCAATGTTTTAAGTTTCTAATTTCCTTGTAAGAAAGCCCTTATGCTGAAATGAATCCTCAGTTTTGTCAGTAAATGGACACTCACGTTTGGCTTGAGCCTCCACTGTATTCCGTTGTTCCCTGTCACCATCACTTCATACTGTGGAACGTTCTCATTTTCTCCAAAATTAAATCTGTTTTTCTCATTCTCTGATGAAATCAGCAATGAAGAAGTCTCAAAAATTTCTGCTCCAAAATGTTTCGTTAAAGTTTCCATTGTCGATAAGTATTTAACCTTCAGGTCATGTGGAGACACGCTGCTATCACAAATGGTTTTATTGTTAAATTCCTTAAGGAACTCCTTGAAAACGTTGTTTATCCGAATTCTGGTTAAAACATTCCTCTGTCTGATAGTCTTGTTCAAAGTTTCAGGAATATAACGCTTGTAACTGGAAAAACAATGGAACATAAACATCGCTGCCTCCTTAAGTTTCAGTTTTCTAGAATATAATTCACTTCCAATAAAAGTAATTTATCAAAACAGATGCAGAACTTCACAGTGCACAGAGAAAGAGTTTCTGATACTCGATGGAGAGAAGAAAAATCACTAATCTTATCTGAAAACTTCATCTGTGATGCACTCAAATATAAATGGCTAATTCAACTCTTTAGGATATACAGTAAGTACAATATTTTAATGGTAAATTGTAGGTAACAATATGCTGCACTTTTTTCATTAATTAGGCAAAAATTGTTCTAACTGGAAACTTAATTACCAAATAAAATCAAAAAGGACCTGTAAGTGCTTGGCACTTCTGCTTATTGCACCTCCTTTGGTGCCTAAATATGGACTTAAACTTTTGAAAATGTTGACTTTAGTCCTTCATATAGTCTTCAAAGAATGTATATGTTAATTGGTCAATAAACTTACCACCCTAAAAGGTACAGTATTATAGTCATGTGAATTTAATTTCATGTTGTGAGAAACAACAACCACCCCCTGCCATGTAACTGACATCAGTGAGTAGAAAAGCTTAACTATACTTCATGTTGCTAAAATAAATTTGGAAGTCGTGGGGTTTTAAATTTACCCCTTAGGTGCAGCTGCTAATAAAGCTACCACTTCTAAATCAATTTCTATAGTAAAATGACATGCAGAAGTTTGACAATTTCATCAATAGCCAGGACTCTGTGGATGTCACTTGTTTTTGTTGTAGGTGACACCTGCATTTATTTTGGTTAGGAGCAGATAACCTAACACAACAGCATCTTCTTATTGCATCCCTACCCCAAAAGGGGTAATTTATTAGCAGGAGTAATATCAGGGTTTATATACTCTGCAGGGTCACCTCAAGAGGGCAACATATCTATACACACTTTAACAAGTATAAAATGTCTTCCAGTGGAGAGAAGCAGTGTCCACACACTGTGTGCAAAGATACTGCAACCTACCTGATGTCCTTGGGAAGATCTGGCAGCTTTGTGTTTTTGTTGATGGCAAAGTGAGAGATTGCAAGGACAGCCATTCCCAGACACTCATTTTCGATTTCATGAATTTCCTGATCATTTTTAGGGTCTCGAACTGGGGCCAGGCCCTTCACCAAATCATACTGTCCCTAAGTGCAAAGTAAGAAAAAGACACCAGCTTTAATAACATTTGCAATAGCTCGTCTCTTATCTGCCAGCATGGCCTCAAGACCGCAAACCCTACATCGCCTATCAGCAGAACCTTCTAAAGCAGAAAGTCATGAAAAGCTGGGGAGAAATGACAGTGGAGCAGTGCTGTCTCCTAGACAAAGGGCGCACCTAAATGTTCTTTAATGCACTTTTGCTGCTGTGCATTAAATTTAGTACCTCTAACGTGAAGTACTAAATCAATGTGTATTAGTCTGCCCTAATGCGCAGCAGCAAACATGCACACTTTTTTAGTGATGCTTAATCCACAGGAGCCTATAGTTTCTGACATGACAATCCAATGTGCAGTAAAATAGGCTCCCGTGCATTAAAGCACACATGTAAACACACCTGAAGAGATGTAAAATAGAGTATGGATGAATGAAAGTCCAGCCCACATTACAAACCCCACTTTGTAAATTCCTGTTCAGGGCACAGCAACCAAGAACTGTGCCTGACAAGTCACACTTCTAAAAATGAGTTTTTGTAGCACAGGCAGGACCATAAAGAATTGGTTAACAAAGCCCCAACTTTTGATTACAGGCATCAATGCTCTACCCAAGCCCCACTGTCACCTTTAAGAGTCAGTATGATCACAAGGGATCTACTTGTGTGGACCTTGTTTGTAGAACTGGGGCTGTAAAGCTGATTCATACTCATCAGTGCAGCCTTCCAAAGAACCCTCGTTCCCAGCATTGTTTAAAAAAACCTCATCTTTGTTAATAAGCATTTATAGAATCAACAAGATAGTCACTTTTCAATAAAGTGATCTTTAAGGTTCACATTAAATTTCTCTGACCCCAATGTCCCTGTTCATAATACTTTGCCCTTGGATTACAACTTAAAGGTTAGATTTTCAGAGTAGCAGTTTTGCCCTCTATTTGTTCCATGAGTCTATGACTTATTTCTTGTCTAGTACTGGAGTTGAGACTTTTACATTCTCTTTTTTCTGAGTGCCACTCAAAAATGGTACTTTTGGGAACATACTCTCATAAAGTTCATGACAATGACTACTCGTTTTCTTTTTCTCTTTTGCTGTGACACTTGCAGTAAAGCACTATTAAAAAGTCTGACTCTGATCAGGTACACAGCATACTTTCAAGCAGTAATTATGCTAAGTATACCGATACAGATGTATGACCCAGATGCTTTATACAGTAACGCTGGGTAATCTCCCTTAATATTAAATCATCCAACATCTTTTTGCAAGTCTCTTCCATTTCTTTAAATGTAACTGGTTCCACCCAACACTTGCTCAGCTGTAGTAACTGTTACATTTTCTTTATTGCCGCTTTCACAACAAACCAAGACATGTTCACCCTGGCAGCTCTCTTCACAGCATTCTCATTTCTAAAATTAAATGGACTGTGAAGGTCAAGTTTCTGCCTGAAAATTTTGTAGCACCTGAAATCACAATTAATGCAAAAGAGCATTTCAGTTGAAAGAAATCAGTAAATAAATATGCTTCCGTTTGCTTCTCCTCCTCCCCCCTTTCTTTGCTCTGTTCATTTCAGAGCACTCTACCAAATGAAAGTCACCTTTTAAACGGTCTATTTCCTTGTTTCTTCTGTACGGTCTATTTCCTTGTTTCTTCTGTATGTCAGCCAGGGTTGGCAGGGGGTTTCTTTCAGGGAGGGGAGGGTGTAGGTTGCAACATCTTTTGTGTTCCTCAAAGAGTATAGACTCTGAAGCAGGGACCACACCTTCCAACAAAGTTTTATCCTGTAGATGTGGTCACGATGTGGCTTCTATCCAGCTTCAATTTGAATGTGGGCCCTACCACACATTCAAATTAAACTGGATAGAAACCAGCTATAGAGATGTTACACATTTTCAAGCACTAATATGATAGCTGGTTGGCTCTTTTTATTGCTGGACAGTCATTTTTATCATGTGATAATTACTCTGTATTTGTGGCCAGTCTTTATTTTGCACCTGTGGCCAGTCTAAATTTATTCTGTGAATAATCAGTCAGCTGCATAACATATGTAGCGTATAGCAGGGGCCTTAGTTATATTTTGACAAGGACTCAGACAAAATGTTACACTGCACAATTTCTATAATAGTACACAGGCATTCCAAGTTACTCTTCAAGTCAGTCTGCTATTAATCAGCTAGGGAACTGCAGGGGTTGTACACATTCAGACTGTAGACTGGGTTCCCAAAAGAAAAGGTTCAAGTTCTGTGGTGTGGGACATTTAAAGCCAGACTAGACATATTACTATAAAACATACTGCAAAAAGAACCATTCCATACTGAGATGAGACTAAACAATTCTCTCTACATCTCGTCTTCTATGGGCAGATTATTTTCTATACAAGAATAACCTGTGCAATAAACACAGCATGGAATTTTCCACCAGACTGTTTCACACCAAACAAACCCATCTGAACGCAAAGGGATCAGAATAAAAATTTATATAAAACTTCTCAGCAATGTTTATTCTGTTTTAACAATATTTATGGACTCATATGACCATTCCAGCCCAGGAGAAATGCCTTGGGGCTCTCTTATGTACATCCCTTACCTGTGCAAAAAGGTATTCTAGCGAGTGTCCATCAAGTATTGGGCTTCCATCTGGCAAAATTTTCTTCTCATAAGCACTCTTTGATTTCTTTGGCGTATGTCTACAGACTGATGGCTCATTTTCACTTGTCCCATGCCAGTTGGTAAAATAAAACCTTGAGAGAGAGAGTAATGCACTTTAAAGTTATTGGGAAGAGCTATGTTTATTTTGGATGCATGTTTTAACTATTCAGATAAAATGGTGGCTATGAATAAATAAACCATCTTTCTACTCTGGGCTTTAAAATTATAGTAGTCCAACATCCTGGATTGAAAGGACCAGTGGAAAAATTACATTTTAAAAGTTGAGATTTTCATGTTGTTCACAACCTATGCCTCGTTTATAAAGGTTATCCATTATCATTTAGCATTCTGTCTTTTCCTAAGCTGCCTACCAAATAAACACACACTAATTCTAAGGTACCTGTGCTTGCCACAGTCTCATGAAGTTTTTTTTGATCTAAAACCAGTGATGTGATATCTCGTGAGTAAAATAGGCTGCAACTCATCACACAGATTTAGACAGACAAGGTTCAAAAAGACTGCCAGGCTTTTACAGATATCTGTGCAACATGAAGTCCAGCATTCACCATTAGCACTGTTTCTTAGTCTTCTTGTCTGAGCTAAGACCAATCCAGTTCTTCATATGGTATCTTGAAATTCCAGCTTTCGTTGAATGATAGAAAATTAGGATTGGAAGGGGACCTCTGGAGGCCATCTAGTCCAACCACCTGCTCAAGCCAGAAACATCCCTAACTAGATCATCCCAGCCAACGCTTTGTCTAGCCAGGTCTTAAAAACCTCCAATGATGGAGATTCCTCAACCCCCTGGGAGTAGAGTAACCTGTTCCAGTGCTTTTCTATTGTCCTTGTGAGAAAGCTTTTCCTAATATCTAATCTAAGCTTTACTTGCTGCAACTTGAGCCCATTGCTCCTTGTTCTGTCGTTTGCCCCCACTGAGAACAGTCCAGCTCCGTCCTCTTTGTAACCCCACTTCAGGTAGCTAAAGGCTGCTACTAAATCCCCCCTCAGTCTTCTCTTCCGCAAACTAAATAAGGCCAGTTCCCTCAACCTCTCCTCATAAGTCATCTGCCCCAGCTTTCTAACCAATTTCACTGCCCTCCATTGGACTCTCTTCTATTTGTCTAAATCCTTTTTGTAGTACACAGTCTTCTAGATGTGGCCTCACCAGTGCTGAACAAAGAAGAAGAATCACTTCCCTTGATCTGCTGGCAACAAACACTCCTATTAATGCAACCCAGAATGCTGTTAGCCTTCTCCACAATAAGGGCACACTGCTGGCTCATATTCAACTTCTTGTCCACTGTCATCCCCAGGTCCTTTTCTGCAAAGCTGCTGCCCAGCCAGTCAGCTCCCAGCCTGTACTGATGCATGGGATTGTTCCAATTTAAGTGCAGGACTTTGCACTTGTCCTTGTTGAACCTCATGAGATTCCTTTTGGTCCAATCCTCCAATTTGTCAAGGTCTCTCTGAATCCTAGCGTTACCCTTCTATGTATCTACCACCTCCCCAGCTTGGTATCATCTGCAAACTTGCTGCTTCTTCATTTTCATATGTCCTGTTGAATAAGCTTTAGTTCAAGCACCCCCACTGCCATTTTGAAGCACAAGGACGCTGATACACAAGACGCTGTGGCGCTTTAATTGGTGTGGCTCCAAGAGTGGCGTGTCCCAGCTCCTGCCCCCCCCGCCCCAAGAGCACGTGTAAAAGTACCCCTACAGAATAACAAGGCTAATCGGTTAAAACCCCACTGGCTGTTATAAGAGCAAGTTATGCCTAACCAAGTTAATTTATTTCTGTAATAAAGTAAATATCTTTGTGGATGGGGGTTAGGAGGAAGGGAGGAAGAAGCAGGGAATGTGACGTATCCTTCTCTATCATGTTGTTTTAGTAAACTAAGGAAATACAGGCTAGATTAAACTAATCGGGTGATAACTAAATGGATAATCATGCTCACAGAGTAGTTATCAACAGCTCAATGGAAGGAGTTATCAAGTGGATCCATCACTCTTAAACACCCTTTAGTAATGGATTTGGATTTGAATACCTAATTTTGCAAATCTGCACATGATAACCAAGATGAGTGAGGTAGCACACATTTCAGAGGACAGGATTATGATTTAAAGTGAGCTTGATAAATCGAAAAATGGTTGTAAATAAATAAAGAAGAAGAATTTCAGAAGAGGGAAGTACACAGGAACAACTAGACACAAATGTAAAGTGAAGTATTGAAGAAAACTCCCTGGGAGCTATGATGGTCTGAATAAATTAACACTATCCTGAGAAAAAGGCCAGGATATATTAACAGAAATTAATGAACAGAAGGAAAGGTTGAAAGGATGTAGACTAGAGATGAGAAGATTGAATAGGGATTTGAGAAGTCCTCAAAAGCAAAAGGGGTTATCAGAAAGAGGATAATGATGAATTATTTTCTTTATCCACTTGGGCAATAGGTTTAAATTGCAACACGGGAGAGTACACTGAGAACCACTGATCTGGCTTAAGACACACCTTATACTCCAGACACCCCTCAGAAAATATCGTTTTTCTGTAGTCAAGAAAGGAACTAATAGAAAAAAATCTTCTGTTGCAAAGAACTGAGAATGACCAAAACAAGCCAGAATGTTTTTGACACTATAGATTCCTATCTTAAATATCTAGGTTTATTTTGTGAATCATGCTGCTTACTGCCTAACAGCAGTGCTGTTTATACACCTGATTTTGTGCAACACCCTTAAAAGGATCTAGTGGCACCTTTGTTGAGAATCACTGGGTTAAATGTTAATATTAGGAAGAACTTTCTAAATATGAGAGTGGCTAAGCACTGGAGGAGAGAACCTAGAAAGACTCTGGAAACCCCATCACTGGAAGTTTAAGTGCAAGATACAAAAACACTTGTCTGGAATAGTTTAGACAGAGATGATCCTGCCTTAAACAGAATTAAACCATATGATACCCAAAGGTTTCTTCCAGACCTATTTTTTCTTTGAATGCAACTAGGGTCCTAACCCCTGTTAAACTCTCTCTGAAGATCCCTGATAAACAATTCAAACAGAAATAACTTTTTAAAACTCTAAGTGACTTTGTATAATAAACTTACCCAAGCACAAAGTTCTAAGAATGATCTCTAACAACATTAAGCTGAGTTGAATTGGTTAAACTGTTACGTTGGTGCTCTTGCCATTGTTTCACATGTCTCTACATGTGAGTTAACGTTATCTAAGGGAGTGAGAGCTGATGCTAATGTGAGTGCCATACAGCATGCTCATGGATATCTGAAAAAAGCTTGACAGGCTTTAGAACTGTGACCATCTAAACCTACATAGTAAGTCAACTTACAATGTACTTCTGTGGTTGAAGGGCGGAAAGGAAAGGTACTTTAATATATGTAAAGGTCAAGTCAACATGGTAAACTATAAGAGAGTACTGCACATCTGGGAAAAAAGGTCATATGCAAAAAGCTACATTAAAATAAAGCTAAGAGCTTTGGCAGAAAATGTTTTGGCACATGCTCAGTAAATCAGTCTACTGAACAAAACCACACATTTTTCACAAAACAAAATAATTTTTAAAACCTCTAAAAAGTACTACTTCACTTCTGGATTCTTAACTTACAAATGTGCAAAATGTACTAGATGCCCTTCACCACCAATAAGAAACACAGGATGTGGCCAATGAGTTTCATTTCTGACATGACAAAACAAAAGGGCATAATAGAAAACTGTGGGGCTGGGGGAGAGGGGAGGAGAGCAAAGAACTTAGACAGTTACTCAGCAGAGGCTTGTGAATAGTACACAAGAGCCAAAAATATAACTGATGAAAAATAACTGATGAAAGCTATTCTTTCTGAAACATATCTGATTAAGGGGGGGGGGGGAAGGGAAATCTTATGGAATTTGGCTTCTAATGCTGCAATGATATCTGCATGTGTGGGGCTCAAAGCAGTTTTTGTGATGAATGAAAATGACATTTCAATCAGAAAATCTTTTTATTAAAAGTGGTTTAATTATCTGCATCATAATTCAGTATACTAAAAGCAAATACAATATTGTTAAAGAAGAAACTGTCACAGCTGAGACTTCCTATGTTATGTTTCAGGTTCTTTCCCCTTCTTCCCTTGATAAATGCCTAAAAAGAATCAAACAATATTCTCTCTGTGTGCGTGTGCGTAGGGTGGGGGGTGTAGGGCAGAGTAGTTATATCGCTTTTCTCCTTTAAGGACAAAAGGGCACTGATTTCAGCAGAGTTTCAAAACTACTGTCAAAATTAGGGCCTCTTCGTGTGAGACATTGCAGAAACACAGTAAGAGAATCTCCCTTCCCTGAAGTGTTTACAATTCAAACAGGCAAGGCAAACCAGTGCCAGAAGGCAGAGCACATTTAATTGCAATTTTACAAATGGAAACAGGCATGTCACTTAAATGTCTCTGCCTAAGTTAAGTAAGTCTGTGGCAGAGCTGGGGATGTAGCCAGTATTCTAAAGGCAACACATTAGGACACAATGGGCAGACACTAGTTGGCCTGCTCATTTAGTCAACTTCATAAAATAGTTATTTTTGCAACATACTTTATATTTCTTTTGGTGAAAATAAAAATCAATAAAAGATACATTTTTAAAAACAAGAGTAGACTCCTTTTAGCTACTGGAGTAGTCCAACTCCTGCATCATCCTGTGTACCAGTTAACCACGGTATTACAAAATATTGTGGTTTCTTATGCTGTAGACGTTTATTGAGTGGAGGAAATAAGGGGTTTATTCATGAAGTCTATAGTAAAAAATAATGGCCTATTAAAATATAACCATGTGTAAATAAGACAGATCTGAAGTGCAGCAGTGGGTATGTCGGGCATTGAATACTGACAGCTGATGAAAAAAGGGCATGCCATGAGAAATAAAATTTGAATCTTTCACCGGTGGAATGTAGCTAAATAGCCAAAGAATCTGAAATGTGTTGGCCACATACCTTACTCATATGAAATATTACACTGAAAAAAAGGGTATTTTAAACATCAAGTGATTGAGTGGCAGAGAACGGCAGAATTAAAGTGGCCTAGGCAACCTTGAGCTGCCACCCTTGCCGGCATCCAGTGTGGTATGTGGCACTGCAGACGTGTGCAGCGCCACATACTACACATTCAGTTGTTTTCTGAGCTGCAAGTGAGCAGCACGGAGAGTTTTTTTGACCCCTGAATATCCAGAGGTCAAAAAAAACCTGCGGAGAGTAAAAGTGGAGCAGTGCACACACAAGCAGTGCACACCGCTCAAAAGCTGAACCAAGCTGCAGCTACCAGTCAGGCCCTGCATGGCAGAATCACTGCTGCAGGAGCCTTAAGGACCCCAGGTAAGGCTGCTGGGGCCAGCCCTCTGCTATCCTTGGCCGCCCCTACCACCCCCAAGGTAACTTGCTATGCACCAGAGGGCACATGGCACAGGCATTCCCTGGGGACAACTAGCAGTGGTGCAAGATGAGCCACTGCTAGTTGTCCCCAGGGAACCAAATGTCCATACCACGTGTGGATGGGGCCCTTGTGTGTATTATGACACAATCTTTAATACACAGTGCTTACTTAATGAGCACTTACATGGTACTTTTTGTTCTTAATTTTCCATTCACAGCCCTCAAATTTATGTACTACACACTATTCAAACACTCTGTGAAGGCAGAGTTCTTCATCACTGCATGGGCCTTTTCTATGGCACATCATCCTGGCATCCAAATGCTTCACAAGCATTAATGAATTTATTTTCATACCACTCTCAAGATGAGTGCATATTAACCCCAATTTATAGATAGGGAACTGAGGTACAGAGGTACACAAATACCTATGGCCTGATTTTTATGTTCAAAGCACAGCCCACACTGGTTTCTATTGCAGCTATGGCCAGCATTTATGCAAATCAGGATCCAAGATCTCAGTCGGACTCCCAAAAAATGAGGAACAAGAATTTACAGGCCACCTCTGAAAAGTTTGGTATTGGTGACCTGTCTAGCATCACACAAAAAGTCTGTGGTTGAGATGGGGATAAAATCTCATTTTCCAGGGCCTCATTCAACTGGAATTAGGACCTGGAGAGGAAAACAGAGTGGGATGAACACCAGTAAGCAGAGAACTGGTTATTACTGAATGAGCATTTGGGAGAGACTACATCTGGCTGGGCAAGGAAAATGACCAAGGACCACTAGATAGATCTGACAAGGAGATGGGGAGGGGAAAGGAAGAAGTGGCAGTGTCCTGACAACCAGACTAGGAGTGGGATGGTGAGTCTTAAGGGATGAGACTAGGACTTCGCAGACAAGAAGACTAGACTGAAAAACGTAGTGTGTAGGAACAGCTACATAAGCAGGCTGGAACTAGGACAAGGAGCCAGAGGAGAGCAAGGGAAAGGACTGCAAAGGGCAGAAACTATGGATGAAAGTGGAAGGAAGCTTGTGGGGAATGGAAAGATATCTGTGCCCGCTGGAAAGACACAGAGCCTGGAAAGGAACCTTAAGATCTTTGAATCTCACCAGTACTCCGCTGTCAGCAAACGATTACCAGTTTTATCTCTTCAGTATCCCTTATCCACACATGACAACTGTCCATAGCTCTAGCTGTAGTGGCAGAGTTCTGTAGATCCATAGGTTTCAGCTCTGCCCACAAATCACTGAAGTGCCATGATGGTACCATTTGATGACATTTCCATGGTGTTTTGTTTTCAGTTTGCTTTATTAGAAAAAATGAATCTAGAGTAATCCTAACAACAGGCAGTGCATCTGTTCCTGCTGGGAGTATGCAACAGAAATGAAAAGTTGTAATTGTGGTATTTTCCTCACTGACTCAAAGCAAAAGCACAACAACACTGTGTATGTGGAATATTATTTTTAGGACTTTTGAATTTATTCATGGAATGTAGTCAGTTTTAAAAAAAGCATGATGCTTTGAGCCAAGGATTCAAATTCCCACAACTGCATTCTTTTTTTTTTTATGTCTGATTTTATGTATATGTTCTCCTTTAATGCTTTTGCCATGGTAGTTTTGTCTCTTATAGACAGTATCAGGGGAAAATGCCTCTTAGTTTTCAATGTAATCAGAAAAAACATGATGTTTTCTCGGATGCTATTGACCTGACTGTCCTCCAGAAGCAAATAAAAGCAACTAATATTCCATCAGAGGCCATTAGATTCCCTTGAGCTTCTCTCAGCCAGTCAGGTCACTCAATTCCATTATAGTCTGGTATTAATCTACTGCACTTAATCACAGCTGTTTAAACCTAAGATTACTTCATATTAAAATTAGCTAAATGAAAGAAACGGACCAGATTATGTATAACAATTAGAGGCAAAAGGTTACTGCAATCACCGTGACATCTTTTATTAGACCAGCTAAATAGTTGGAGAAAAGTTTTTTGCAAGCTTTCGGGCACAAACACCCATCTTGAGGCATTGTGAGATTCTGCCTGAAGAAGGGTGTTTGCACCTGAATGCTTGCAAAGAACTTTTTCACAACTATTTAGCTGGTCTAACAAAAGATATCACATCTGCCCAGAGAATCTTGCCTGCCTATGTCCTTAGACCAACATGGCTACAACCAACAACCCTGCAATCACTGTAGCATTGTGGAAAGCTATGTGTTTTTGTTGACTTATCAATATTTATTTTCCTAACTAATCATTGCCTTGCTTTCATGCTTCTCTAAGCAGAAAAGCAACTCTGATGTAATGTGTTAAATCAGGATTGTAATCTCTCAAACCTCAAGGCTCAAAGTTTCAAAGCAGTTTTGTCCTGGCCTCCATTTGTGGTTGCACAAGAGCCATATATACTATATTCTACCCACCCAGGGAAAAAGCTTGCTTCTATAAATTATTCTTGGGACAACTGAGGCTTGTACATGTTCCTTCTTTCACCAGCATTTGCACATCAAAATTCACAATCAGGTACTTTAGATTTGTGAAATGGTGTGTACACAAATTAAGATTCACTTTTAAAAATTCTGCCTCAGATCTTGCACCAAATCCCACGGATTTTTATTTTATACTTTAATGACAGCAGCGGTGCCTGATAAAGAATATATGCTTGGAGATCTGCCTCCTAGAGTAAACAGGGACCCAACTCTAAGTGTCACCTTAGGAAAATGTGAAAATGCCCAAAGAATCTAGAAAAATTATTCCTGAAGTGATAGCTTGTTCTCTAGATGACAATACTGCATCTTGAAACGTAGGCTACGATGAGATGATCGCTATGATGAAACAGTGGTTCTCAACATTGTTTAATTGTTCATTTTTATTTAGACCAGTGACCAATAATGTTGTGGTTTTGAGTTCCTGGGGTTTTCTAGTGTTCTCAGAGTTTCTGAAAGATGTCATAAAAGAATACACAGCCTCTCTCATTAGTCACTCGGTTGATGTGTAGGGTGGATTGTTATTTGGTTTGTCACATGAGTGCAGTATGACGTGTAACAGTAGCCACCCAGTTCTTGGAAAGACCCATATACTGGTGTACTTAAAGAATCCCATCTTTCAGCCATCACACTTACCTCATGCGATAATGAAGCCGGAGAGCTGTTTTCTCCTCTATCTTGAAGACATGGTTTGGTGCATACCAGAGTCTCTTACTTTCTTCAAACAGCGCAAAAAGATTGTGGCACAATGGAGATATACCTATTGAACAGAAAGAAAGAAATTTATGGCCTTGCTAATCACCCACCAAAAATACACTGATGAAGTAAAATAACTAATATCTGCATTATGGAGAGGCATGGGGGTTGGGGAGGAGACAGAGAGGGGATGATTAAGAATAGGGCATGGGCATAGCTAGAGGAGGGTGCCATGCACCCCAACCCCCCTTTTCTTTGGCCACCGTTCTTGCACCCCCACAAATCGGTGTCTAAGGCTGATCCCCCCCACCCCAATTTTGCTGGTGGTGTAAGGTTACAATATACCCTGTTTTTGCTGAAACAGATCTGTTTTTAAACACTTGTCCTCAGTGTCCCATCAGCTTCTTCATCCTTTTGTTCCATTTTCAGTAAGAACGTCATGGTGGCAGTTCTCTCCAGCCAGGCAGAGAGATGTGGGGGGTTTCTGATCCTCTGGCATCTTTCAGTTCTTCTCCCCTCTGCCCCCAAGCTTACCCCTAGCTATTTGGTGTATTTAGCAGACCAGAGAAGGGAGAAGTAGAGTACTGTAGGATGCCAGAGGACCTTTAAGAAGGAAGTGCTAAGTACCCCCCACAAAAACACTTTTTGGGTTGCTCCATTTTGAGACTCGGGAAGTGCAATCACCTTAATTAAAAAGGAACTGAGAAGCACAGACATTGCACATGATGTATAAAGATTTTTAAACATTATCTTTCAGATTTTTTTTAACATTGGTAATACACATCTTGATTTCCCCAGATTTTGTTGGCAGAATTCAACTCCAGGGACAGCGGCCTAACAAGCTAAAGTCTCAGCTGAACTTTCCGCAATTCATGATATTAGGGGAATTTTAGCAAGACTTTTCACAACTCTGTTTCTTTCTCTTGTTGTAGTAAAACATGTCAGACTCCCACAGTGAGAAAACAGTAGCTGGGGTGGTATGGGCATTAAAGTGCATGGTTGACAGCCCAGAGGTTGCAAGTTTGAGGTCATAGCAGTAGTGCTCATGGCACAGCCTGTCAGATTCCAACAAATCTGCAACTTCTGCTAAATACTTAGTCAAAAGAACATAAACAGGGAAAGTGAGAAGACAAGATCTCTGTGAAAGGCTCAACTCCTTCAGCTGAGTCACAGGGAAGTATAACATGGTGTCACTGTTTTGGTAATCCGCCAAAATATTTTCCAACAAAACCTTCAATTGTTATTTATAAGTTTGTATTTCAAGGAGAAACTTTCCCATTTCAAAGCATAACCAAACAACAAAACAGGGGAAGTTGTCTTCATAGGGAAGAAGCTGTCTAATCTCTCAGAATGTGAGTTAGAGTATCCACAGCTTCTTGCACACGACAGTACACTCTAGGTGTATTCACAGCATATCACCAACAGAAAAGTAATTCTGGACATGGACAGACATAGCATTTTTAGTGCTTTAAAGTACCATAAAAATGGGTCATAGCATTGTCAACATTGTCATAGCACTACAAATCAACCTAAGCTGCATCAAAGAGGAACAGGAATAACTATGAAGTGCTTCCTAGTGACACTTTATCTGGAAGACAGTTGTATATATGTATATAAATGGCATTTCATTTTAATAGTGGAAAAACATGGATTTGAGGTTTTTTAAATCAGGGAACTTGGGGGTTCTTTTTAACCAGAGAATTTGGAATTTTTTTTACACAGAGAAAACCAGGATCCCTGGTCATAATTAAATGTATGGAAGTACAAGATGACAAAGGAAAACAAATTAAGTTGCAAGACAGGATAAATACTGAAGAGAATAGGAAACGGTGGTTTTGCCCACAAATACCGCAATCCTGTTCCCCTTCAAACTGAAAAAATGCAGTGAAAGGGCCGGAGTGGGGTTGGCACCTTCTCACCAAACACCTAAAAACTCTGGGTTCTGGAAACAGACTCTCCAACTCTTCTGTAGAAGAATGTCTCATTCCACCTTCCCATGAGCAAGCTAAGAACTTTAGAAGTCCCGCAAAGAGATTCCCCACTAACTCAGATCCAACATAAGGTATTTCTGCAAGGTCTGATCCATGCCCAATGAGGGATGCACTTATTTCTGAAACACTTTGGCAATATAATTTTGAACACAGCCAAACTAACGCAATACTCACAGCACTCCTGAGCAGCTTCAAAGCAGAGGTCTTCTGCTGTATACTCGCCACTGATGTGGCGAATAGGAGGCTTATCTTGCAAATAGAATAGTATTTCCAATCCCTGCTCTTGAACTTCTGTGCTTACTTCGCTCTTTTTCGAGTTTCTCATTTTTGCACAGAAAGCCATGGCTTTGCAATCTTCTTTTACATTTAGATACTGGATTTGGAGAAAAATAAAAATCACAGGAAAATGTAATAAAGAGTTTGAATTCATTTCAGAAGATAGTGTCTGCAGTATAGCTACGCACTACAATTCCCACTGAAGCTCTCAAACCCTAAAAATTTAAAATCAGTTGTGTTCTGAAAAGTGGTTCCCTAATAATGCCATTATATGGTTTACCCCTCATGTTCAGTAAAGTAGCAAATTGTTTATTTTGGCCACATTTTTGCACATTAAAGTATCCCCTCCCCAAGTTTGTTTGTTTGTTTGTTTTTTTTAAGTACAAAAATCAGATTACATGTAATCATAATTGGAGGTGGTTTGAAACTGCACAATTCAGGTCTAAGGTTGTCGTTTAAAACAGAAGTTTCATTTCAGGCCTAATATTGGTGAAATCTATTAAAATAGTCTTCACATAAATGGAGTATTTAATATAACAAAGGCTTGAACAATGATTCCCAGTCTCCTCAGATTAGAACCCACATCACCTTATGAAAAGTAAAGTATTCGTAACATCCTCTTACAGTGAGTATAAGGAAAACTAAAATAATGCATCACTGGTAGCAATGCTCCTCTCCCACAACCTTCTGTACTCCAGTTTTGGCCAACTCTAAATTATTCTAGAAATTTTATTTTCTTTGATTTTAGAACTGCAGTACTTTTGGACACCTCAAAATACCCTGTTTACCTTGTGTCAACTGCAGACCACCAGCTGAGAAATACTGATCTGCGGGGATGTTACAGATAATATAGAGAGGGAGAGAGTTTGTAACCTGCAAGAATTAGACTTTCTCTATCAATTCAGTATATATTAAAAGCCAGTTATCAGACTAAAGGGGGTATATCCCAACTCCTCCCACAAGCAAACTACTTATTTAGGAATCTTTAATGCAATGACCTTAAGATTTTCAAGTATGTACTTGATGAACAGGTTGATCCCAAAGGAATGGCACCCTGTACTATATACAATGCTCAGAGAGACAAGTAGTGGTAGAGTTCATATGTCATTATAGGAGAGAGAAAGCGTAAGGAGTAGTTTTACTAAACTCTAATTCAATTAGAGTTGAAAGATTAAAAACAACCCAGAATCTCTACATATTCTATCAAAAACATACCTGCATTTATCTGAATGTCTGGTCCTCCAACACAGCTAGAATGATTGTTGTCACGCTTTCGAAAAACAATTCAACCTGGCTGAGAACAAAAAGAAGTAATGTCAGCTCTCAAACGGAAGCTGTTCTGAGACATTTGACAAGCCACAAAATATAAGAATATGCAGTCTGATCCAAAGCCAATTGCAACACAGAAATCCAACCACAAACTCCATACAATTTTGGATCAGGCCCTTCAAAAAAAATCCCATCTCATACAGATGCAACAAACTCCTGGGAATGTTTTTTGCGTCTTCCATGCAGCTACACTCACACTTGAGCTGTGGGTACATGAAGTGTAACTATTCTATCAAACAACGAGCCAGGAGACACTGCCTCTTCTATTTTATTATTTGTTCTGCAGTACTACCCACACTGTACTTCATGATCTCCATTCAGTCCCTGCCCTGAAATGTAATATTGCTGCAGCATGGTCTCTTATGTACCACCCCCTTATTTTTAAAGCTAGATATTCAGCTGTTTTTGATCTTCCCATCACATTTCAACTCCTCCTCCTCCCCAACCCTCCTCTACATTCACTCTTTATCCTTTAAGGTGTTCTTAATTTTTTTTCCTTCCTTTCTGTGCTTTTTCACTTTCCCCTCTGCTCGCTCACTTCCCCTCCTCCCCACCCCCGTACTTTCAACTTAGTGCTAAACTGAGAAGCTTCTCAAGTTTTCCCCACCTGTCTTTCTCCCCTTCCTCCTCCTTTACCTCCTTTGTATACTTCCAGTCCTTATTCTCTCTAGCCTTCCCCACTTCAGTCCCTGCAGTTTTCCTCCCTCAGTTCTCTTTTTGGCTCTGAAGGCACAGAACAGCCTACAGACATCAGAAACTGCTCTTCAACAAAATTCAGCTGTGCAGTATGAATGGCACCAAAGCAAGCAGAGTGGAAAGAGGTAAAAGGGAAAGAGCTGCTAGACTGGTGCCCAAATCACAGCAACCTTTGTAGAACAGGCAAAAAAATGTCTTGGGGGTTTAGATGAAACCAAGACTAAGGCCCAGTTATACAAGAGCAGCGGTCTCCAACCTTTTCAAGTAGGAGGTCACTGTTGGCATTTACAAGCAACCCAAGATCGACCGTGTGCCATGCGCCCCCCCCCGCCCCCCCAGCAGGCAAGTCTGTGGGAAGGGAGGGCAGATCAAGAAAAAAGTATCTGGGGGCGTGCCTCCCCAGAAGGTAAGTCCCACCCAACCAGGGCCCCACTCAACTTATTCCTGCTCCTGCCTCTGCGGCACTGTCCCTCACCGTGGGGCCTCGATCTAGCCCCTGCCGCTTCCCTCCTCCAGCTGGGGTGCTCGTGTGTATGCACACAGGCACTCAGCCCCCAACCCCAGTCTCAGATCAACTCCAAGAGGCTCCAAAATCTGGTGACCACTGCACTAGAGCTAACCAGCACCGCTAGCGCTGTTCCTGTGAAGAGGGGTAGCCAGTCATCTTGGTGCACAAGGGTTCAACTAGAACTGAACCCCTAAATCGAGAAGTGATTTGCAACAAGCAAAAATGTTAAAAGGTCCAAAGCTTTATACAGGCTGTGCAGTATACAAGAAGCAACTCAAGTAAGTGAATGTCAGCTGTGATGATGATATTTATTAACTGAAGAATCTCATTCAGCAAGGAACTGATTGCTGCTTGCGACCCTTGGGGGCTTTGTTCTAAGCAAGCCTTTTGTGACTGGGAAGGGGCTAGCACATTTGCCTACTGCCTAAAGTATCAGAACTACACTTCAAAAATCTTCATTGTTTGTAAACTTTATATGAGCTCCACACTGTCCCTAAAGTACTGCAAACAATCCAAGAGTTTTTTTCCCTTGTGGAAATCTCCAAGGGTGACTCAAGTATTTTGGAGTTGCTCTGCAAAACAATTCAGACCCTCTTCAACCTCAGAGAAGTCTCCTGTTTATTACAATTGCACTGTGACAAACTAGGAATATGTCCATGTTACCTTTTTCTGAATATTATATACAACCGTTTTCTCTGTTCAGTGTGTTGATGTTGTACAGCAAGGCAGGAAGACAGAGTAAAATCAAAAGAGGCCATAAAGGTATTATTGAAGCAACTAGAGAGAAAGATAAAACAATGACCTAGATAAGCCGTGCTCAGCCTTTTGGCAAGGTGGGCCAGATGACCTGGGTCAGACTGCATGCCTGCCCACCAGGATTGAGGCCTGGGGCTCTGTACCAACCCCGTGTCCCGGAATCAGGTTTCAGGAACCTTGTGCCCACGTATGGGGATCAGGCTCTGGAGGGCCCCTGCCATCCCTGCTCAGTCCCATGCATGAGGATTAGGCTTAGAGTGCCCTGCATCATCTGTGCCCGGTCCTGTGCATGGGGATTGGGCTCTAAGGGCCCCACACCACCTGCATCTGAGTGCCAGGATCCACCTCTGGGGCCACATGCCACCTCTGCCCAGTCCCATGTGGCAAGATTGAGCTCATGGGCCCTGTGCCACCTCCAGTCAGACTCACACACTAGGATCAGGCTCCTCAGGCCCTGTACCACCTTGAGTGCCAGGATTGGGCCCCATGTCACCCTGTGCACCCAATCCTAGTACACAAAGCCGTGACCCACAGGGTTCCCCATGGACTCATGGGGATGACATGGTGCAGGGTTTGAGCACTCTTGACCTAGTTAAGCAGCATCCCTTAATGAGGGATTCCACGATCCTAATGCTGGTGATAGGACTGAGAAGACAGTGGTAGTTAGTTATGTTAGTCTGAAGTCAAGCAGAAGGCAGGTTAGCATTACACCTTATAGACTAAGTGAATTTAATTTAATTTAATTTAGCTGAATTTATTTCTGTTAGTCTATAACAAGGGTCGCCAACTCACAGCACGTGTGCCAGAGCATGGCATGAGAGGCCATTTTGCTTGGCACGCCACAGCCAGCCCAGGCTCTAGGCAGTTGCCACTGGCCCCAGAGTCCAGGCTGCTTGCAGCAAATGACCAGGAGCCTGCAAACCCTGATGCAAGCAGCTCAGGCTCTGTGGCTGACAGCAGCTATCCTGCAGCCAGGAAGCTGCAAAAAACTATACAGGGCTGTCCGCCCGGAGGTGCGTGTGTACCTGCTGCCACCACAGAGCCCAGCTGAGGCTCTGGAGCCTGGTGAAGCAGTTCGCAGACTTCCACATGTCTGCCACAGCTGGCCCAGGCTCTTGGCAGCTGCAGCAGGAAGCAGGCAGGCTGCAAACATCTGCACCAGGCTCCAGAGCCCCAGCACCAGCTCCATGCTGGCGGCAACTGCACATGCGCATCAGGCCATAGAGCAGGGAAGGGGCTGGAGCAGTGCAACTCTGGCCCTTCCCCTGCCATCCACCCAGAAGCGCGCGTGCAGTCACCTCCAGCAATGAGGATCAGGCCCCTCACAGTTCCCCTGCGGCCTGCCCCTGATACACTGAGTGGGGTGTTTTTGGCACTGGCCAAAATGTTGCTGACCCCTGGTCTATAATGTACAAGACTGTGATTAAAAGACTGGTCCTGTAGAGAAGGAGGAGCTTAGGGATGAACTAAGGGAGAAAGAGTGAACAAATGTAAAGTAATACACGTGGGACACTCTTGGTTTACCCCTTGTCTCTCTGTGGGTTACGTTCTTGAATAGAATAATGAGTGATTTGTTTTGTTGATTTTTTGTGTCACTGTATTCAGATGCTTTCCCAAAGGCCAAGCCTTGGGAAGCCCAGTCCCACTTAGACCTAGCGCAGTGGTAACTGCACGTACAGAGAAGGCTGTATGCTTTGAGTAGGCAAACTGTGGAACTGCCCTCCAGTATAAGTTATGGCCAAGGTCTGGGGTATGTCCAAGTAGATAACAGAGAAAGGACAGCAATACAACTAGCCTGGGAACCATTTGCCACTAATACAGGGATGGCCACATGAAGACTCCTCCATTTGTGTCCTTTGTCTCCTAAACCCACATTTGAGTTAAAAGATAATATTGCTGAAGCAATATGGCCTTTATTGATTGCTGCTTAGGACCACGGAGGGTGTAGCTTTGAGCAAGTTTTTTTTGGTGACGGGGAAGGGAGTAGCACATTTAGTATTATCACAATATAAACAATTCATGCACATATTCTCAAGTAACTACATGTTTCTTTCATTTGCACCACTTTCATGCCAATCAGAGCTTTTATAAAGAGCTGATGGGGAGGCAGGAAACAACAGAGAACAGGATTACTGGGATACAGAGGTGACCATTATTCTTGCATTTAAATTCAGAAGATTAAAGCATTTTAAGATCTACAGTTTAATCAATTAAAATACTCCTTTTATTTAAAGGTCCCTTAAAATTGGTGCACACTATTTTTTATTAAAAGTTTCTAAAGCCATGAAATAAAAATGTACTTCAAGTTTAAAGGGGAAGGGGGAAACAAAGCCAATGCTTTCTTGAAAATACTGTAAGTCAGAACTATTTTTTCTGCATACTGCTTTTCGGTTATACTTAAGTCATAACTCCTGTTGCCAATTATAGTAGCAATTCCAGGAATACTGAACAACCGTAAGTGCTGTTTCACTTACAATAAACTTCTGGGGATGATCAAACAATCAATGTCTACTCAATAACCTACTATTTATTACACAGTCTTCCTGATCTTGCTTTCAGTATCAGGAATTCATCTTTTTAAAGCGTGTCCTGGTAGAAAAATCAAGTAAAATTTTCTAAAATCCACTTTCTAGACATTGTCTTCCACATTTATCTTTGTTAAGAATATTTACTGTCATTATTATAACAATTTGGTATAGGTACAGATAAAATATATAAGATTTAGTATACTCTCATTCAAATTTAAATAAATCCAGCTACTCGGTGGGAAACACTGAAACTGGCCATAACAGTCAATGCCAAAGGGCTGGAGAACTCAGCCTTCCTATTATGAATAATTGCTACTAGTCAAATATAATGCCAGGACAGGCTGGGGGGAGTTCAACAATGACCATCAAAGCTGGCACAGGCAGCCTTTTTCTGCCACTGCTCCTGCATATGGTCGTGTCACTACATCACAGGCAGCAGGGGTCCAAACCCCAAATCTCACTACCCCAATCCAGTCA